ACGTTGATGGAGGTAGAGTCCTCCACAACTTCGGTATCTTTGTTTGTATGCCAAGTCTTCTGAAGCCTTCGTATAACCCATCATGGGTGTAAGGGCATATTTATCCCAAAGGTTTTTTTGGTGATTGATGACAATGCTTTTGCGGACTAATCGTGTGCGTTGAGCTTTTCAGAGATTCATCCTTTGGCACGAGACGATTCCCTCCCCTCGGTGTTTTATTCAAGACGGTGTAGCTCCTTCGTTTCTCTGTTGGTGGACTAGTTTCGTAGGAGTCACCATACTATCAAGAGGGGATCCGCTTTGGTAAGGTTAGGGTGGAATCAACACATACACATCCTTATCACACCCGCTGTTCCTTTCCGCATCATTGGAGCTACCTTTCCTCTCCTTGCCTGCCCTGACCTGTCCCAGCGGTAGTACCGCGGTCCTCAGCGGTAGTACCGCCGAAGCGCGTCAAGCGGTAGTACCGCCCCCAAGCAGTAGTACCGCTTGCTGTCTTCGGTCGTAGTACCGTGTGGTTCCGAGCTACTACCGCCTCGACTCGAGACCTCTGTTTTTCATGTCGGGTTTTGCGGTACTAGTAGCGGCAGTAGTGGCGGTAGTACTGCTCCAAGCGGTAGTACCGCCCCTACTTCCGCGGTAGTACCGCTCTGGGCCCAGGTCCTTGCTATCCTCGTGTGCGTGTCAGTACCGCTGGGAGGGAACGGTAGTACCGCTAGGTCAGCGGTAGTACCACCCTGCCCAAGTGGTAGTACCGCTCTGTGCGTGGCTGCTTGGGGGGGGGGGGTAACGGTTGGATTGTTTCCCCCACTATATAAAGGTGTCTTCTTCCCCAAAGTTGACCTACCTCTTCCCCCAAAAACCTCCATTGTTGCTCCAAGTTCCATTTTCGCCCAATCTCTCTCTCTAGCCAATCAAACTTGTTGATTTGCTCGGGATTGGTTGAGAAGGCCCCGATCTAAACTTCCACCAAGAGAAATTTGATTCCCCCCACTAATCCCTAGCAGATCTTGTTACTCTTGGGTATTTGAGCACCCTAGACGGTTGAGGTCACCTCGGAGCCATAGTCCATTGTGGCGAAGCTTCGTGGTGTCGTTGGGAGCCTCCAATTAAGTTGTGGAGATTGCCCCAACCTTGTTTGTAAAGGTTCGGTCGCCGCCTTCAAGGGCACCAATAGTGGAATCACGGCATCTCGCATTGTGTGAGGGCGTGAGGAGAATACGGTGGCCCTAGTGGCTTATTAGGGAGCATTGTGCCTCCACACCGCTCTAACGGAGACGTACTTCCCTTTAAAAGGAAGGAACTTTGGTAACACATCCTCGTCTCCACCGGCTCCACTCTTGATTATCTCGTTCCTTTACTTGTGCAAGCTTATTTGTGTTGTATCCCTTGCTTGCTTATGTGCTAGTTGTTATTGCATCATATAGGTTGCTCACATAGTTGCATATCTAGACAACCTACCTTGTTGCAAAGTTTGAATTGGTAAAGAAAAGATTAAAAATTGTTAGTTGCCTATTCACCCCCCTCTAGTCAACTATATCGATCCTTTCAATTGGTATCAGAGCCTCGTCTCTTTATTAAGGACTTTGCCGTCCGAAGAGTATGGTTGACACCACAAATGTTGTGGAGGAGCACTCCGGTGTGAATCCTACCTCGTCTACGGCCGATGGGGGAACTGCAGTCTCTCGTGAGGAATTCAATGTGGCTTTAGACACATTGAAAAACTCCATGACGACCGAGATTGAAAACATGTTTACTAAATTCCTAGAAGGACTTAAACTGTCTAGCTCGCCGATGAAAGTGGGTGATCCCACTAACAAGGTGATGGATGCTACCTCCGACAAGGGGGAAGCTAACAGTGAAAAGGGTCCTTCTACTAGTGGTAGAAATGGCACCGGCATCTATGCCCATGTGGAACCTCCAACTTATGGTGGACCGATTCCCTCTACTCATTTAAATCATGCCGGTCCTCCTCCTAAGATTGACAAAAATGAGGATTTTGATTCTTGGGTGTATCGCTTCAAGCGTCATTTAAAGCATGTGGATACTAATCTTTGGAGAATCATTGAAGAAGGTTTCTATCCATATGACCCAAGCAACTTCACTCCTAGAGAAGCCGTGGATAATCAATTCAATGAGAATGCTCTCTTCATCATCCAAGAATCAATTCTCCCCGAAGATCTCCCTCATCTTCGACCCTACGCCGTGGCCAAAGACACGTGGCATTGCGTTGTGTCTCTCTATCGTGGAAGTGCGAGCATTCAACACTCCAATTATGAAGTGGTGCAAGATGAAGCCGATGAGTTTGCTATGAAGGAAGATGAAGAACCTTGTGAGCTCTTTTGGAGAGTAACCAAACTTGCGGTCTCACTCCGAGATCATGGGAGCAAGGACACGGATGACAATTGGATCAAACGCAAGTTCCTCAAGGCCATGATGCCCTACAACAAGTCCATGTCCTTCATTATTCCTCAAAGACCGGACTTCCACTCCATGACCTCAAGTGAAGTGTTGGATGAGTTTGTTGCAATGAGCATCTTGGACAAGACCACCGATAACGCGGTGCTCTGGTCTCAAAGGGCAAAGAAGCCCAACCTTGCCTTGAAGGCCAAGGTTATTGTGGAAGAAGAGGAAGAAGAGGAAGATGAGGAGAGCAACCCCGAAGATACAAAATATGATTATCACAAGCACATGGCTCTTGCTTCAAGGCAATTTTGGAGCAAGAAGAACTCAAGACCCAACTTCAACAAGAACAACTCAAGTGGCTTCAAGGGCAAGCAACGAGTTAGAACTTGTTACAACTGTGGCAATGTGAGCCATTTCATTGCGGATTATCCTTACGAGAAGCGGGAAGACAATGGTGGCAAGCTCATCCGGAAAGACAAAGCCAAGTCTTTCCCCAACAAGAACAACTTCACCAAGAAGACTCCTACTCGAGGGTTGGTGGTTCAAGAGGAATACCGTGAGGATGACGATGATGATGAAGATAGTGAAGCAATGGCCATGGCATCCGTTGCCATTGCCACAACTCCCCGGATGTCTCTCTTCGATTCACCCAACGAGAACATCACCGCCAAGTGCCTAAT